TTTATATAGCTTTCCCCCATACTTTTTTTGAAATCATTTTTGGAGTTACTGCAGAACACAGAGAAGACATCATATAGTCATGGATGTGGAGGTCCATCAGGTGAATGGTAGAGAACTAACAGACAAACCCATTCTGTATATGCACTTTGCCCAAGAAGTTATAGGTGCATCCCTGCTGCACACCATTTTCATTGATCTGAGAAATGTATTCTCATGTATCTGAAGAGTTTGAACTCCACCTTCCTTTTTTTTCCTTGCCTATTAACTTATTTTATTTCTGCATTTTTTGTTCTTCAAATCTGTGGTGCTGGGCATTGCAGTGGAACATCCTGAAGGCACTTAGCTCAGTGCTTTCTCAAGTGTTCCAGATGTCAGGGCCAGCTTTGTCTTTATCATATCCAAAGGGGTTAAAGGGAAAGAACATGGTTTAACAGGCCAATGTCAGGGGCACATGAGATTTATAAGGAAGGAACACAGGACAGATAGGCAAAGTCTAACCCAGTGTTGAAAATAGCAATACTGGATCCAACAAGTCCAAAGGTTTAGATGTTGAGTGTTGTAAAAGATCAGATCACATTCAGAAGTATGGTTGAATTAATCAAAATCCTGGGTAGTTTTGCTTTCAACAAGAACACGCAGAAGAGAAATCAAAATCCAGTCTGAAGTTCAGAGAACCGAGCTAGGTTCATCTGCTAATCTATTTTTAATAATGACTGTTTGTCTGCTAGTCATTTTTAATAATGACTTTTTATATATTTATTGTTTTAATTAATTGTTGTACGCTGACCAGAGTCACTTTTTGTGAGATGGGTGGCCGTATAAATTTGATAAATAAATCAAATATAAGTATAATGCTTTGAAAACCAAGGCACCTTATAAAGATAATTATAAATTTTGTATGACTGTGCCCAAGATCTTTTCTAAAATGTGAATGCTATTTTATATTACAGGCTGCCTTGAAGTGAAGGCACATTGAGATTCACATCCTGGAATCTTCTTTTTAAGAATCTGAAACAAGGGACTCCTTTCTAGTTTGGACATGGCCAACCGAGGAGCAACTAGACCCAATGGGCCCAATGCTGGGAATAAAATATGTCAGTTCAAGTTAGTTCTTCTTGGTGAATCTGCAGTTGGCAAATCAAGTCTGGTGCTTCGCTTTGTAAAAGGCCAGTTTCATGAGTTCCAAGAGAGTACAATTGGAGGTGAGAAATGTTACAATTTCAAGTTTAATGCTTTATGCTTTTGAATCAGTAGTGTAAAGGTAAACAAATTATGGCTTAATTGCATCAATTTCTGTAGGCAGTCTCTCCTTTGCCTGACCCTTTCCCACTACCAGTCTAATCACATTGTTCTTGATGTGTAGAAGAGCAAACAGCATACTCTCTTGAAATCTCTTCCTCTCCAATCTCTGTGCTCTGGGGGGGGGGAGTTGAAGCGCCCCTGTGGTTGTAGGTGCAGGCAAGCTGCCAAAAGCCTGAATTTTGATCACATGATGTGGAGGCACTGCAATAGCCATAACTTTGGGGACGTTTTATTCAGTGCCACTGTAACTTTGAATGGTCACTGAATGAATAGCCATTAAGTGAGCAATACTTGTATTTAGTATGCCACCATAGAGGAGGCTCTGTCTCATATGATGTACTTTGATTAATGATAGGAAAATCAGACTGGCTTAATCTTTCAGAGGAGACAAACTACTAGGTTATGGCAGGATTTCTTAAAAGTGGATACATGACATTATGACTATCATAATCTATCCTCTTTAATAAAGATAGGGATTAGCTACTTCCTGAGCCCATCAGGAAGTGAAAGGCAAAAGTGATTTGCAAGTTGCTGCAAGTGGAATCAGTCCAATCTGTGCTTCTGTTAACATGCTTTTGGATCAGAATGGCATAAAACTGGGGAGAAGGCATGCAACAGTGATATTGTTCATGAGAAAATTAACATGCTGTCTGTTCAGGGCATTACTGTTACCACTGTGTAATAGCTGCAGGGAGAGGTCCTGGAACAGTGTCTAGGTGTATTATGGATACCATCCAAGGAAAGATGTTGTCTACAACTGTAGGTTGAGGCACAATTTCAGTGCCTAAAACATGCTAGCTAGCTTACATTAGCAGCTTAATGCTTTTGATTCTAACTAGCAAATGAGTCCCTGTGTCATCTTTGCAGTAACCTTAAGCAATATATTGATGTTAATTCATGATTCCATGGTTGGGAGTCACTGTGTAGTCCATCAGTGTTGTGCACCAATACCTATCACTGGTAAGAACCAGAAGTCTTTCTTTGGCCATGATGGTGGATGAGCATGTACGAAGGAAGTAGGGCAAAACCTATGTTGCTTCCCCCATTGTAGATGTACAACAGTGATTATCAACACTTGTAATCAATAACCATGTTATGTAATGTAATACAGAATGTTAAATTCCTTTTTACACACACACACACACACACACGGCTGTTATTAATGTCCTTGGGTTTTTCCAACTCTCTCCCCTCCATCCAAAATGCTTCTTCATGGATCAAGCACATGTTTAGGTTTCATTATTCCATTCAGGGACAGTTTGTTCATGAACTGTTTTGTACATCCTTAGTAATTGATGAAATTCAAATGATTTGACATATTTAATGAACAGATTGCCCTTTCTTTTTGAATAACAGTATTGTGTGATCAAAACACTAGTGTTTAATACACAGACCTATGATTATGTAGAGGAAGAAAGCAGTTACTTTCCCAATTTTGGGTTGGCATCAAGGGGTGGGTGGCAACATTTAACATTCAGCCTTTCTTCATGAACTGAAATCTTTTTTTATTAAACCAGTTTTAACACTAAATGGGTGTTGCAGATATCCTGCAAACAAGGAATTGGATCCCTTGAACCTTAAGATCTGATCTAGCTGAGGGCAATACACTGGCTATATATGTAATAGTGGAATGAAAACATACAATCTGTTACTCTAGGACATTGCCAAAGACCTACCATGGTGAAGATTGTCCTGTGAGTTATCAGCCAGTAATCTTTGTATGTGGTAACCAATAAAGTTAGGGCTACCAGATGTGAGCTGCAAAAAACTGGGCAACCAGTAGATGGCAGCAAAGAGATTAATTTTTTTAATATAATTTTTATTAAAGTTTACAGATACAGTGGTACCTCGGTTCACGAACTTAATTAGTTCCACGACTCTGGTCGAGACCCAAATTGGTCGCGACCCGAATCGAATTTTCCCATAAGGTTCAATGTAAATACGGTTAATCTGTTCTGACCCCTCTGAATTTGGT